AGATTATCACGTGGTTATTGAATAGTATGGAACCCAAGATTAGTGTAAATTTCATGTTTCTTGACACTGCCAAAGAGTTGTGGGACCATGTTAAGAAGTTGTATTCTGGTCAAGACAATACAACCAGAGTATATCAGCTGTATCAGGAATACTTTAATCTGCAACAGGGCAATGAGGAGAGGGAGAATCATGTTGAAAACAGTCAGGGTAGAAGTGTGTGGACTATTTGGGTGGAAAGAAATTGACGGACCTTCTATGAGAAGTTCTGGTCAAGGGAGGAAATTGTTGAGATTATAAAGATCAAAGTTGCACGACAAAAAAAAAAAGTTGCACATTGGATGATAACACTTGGAACTCTTACAAAGTTTTTTCAGTGAATGATATAATTAGGGCATAGAATGAAGTGGCACAGTCTTCCAAAGAAAAGGAAAGGGTGGTAATGGAATGGAGGCCCTAGCAAGTAACAAAATAAAACTGAATTTTGATGGGTGTTCTAGGGGAAACCCAGGAATGGCAGGTATTCTAGTTGTCTTTAGAGATTCTTCAGGCAAGGTGATGGCTATGTATTCGGGACACACAGGGGTTGGAGACTCACTTAAGGCTGAGTTGATGGCTTTATTGCTAGCCTTAACATTTGTTAAGCAGTCTAACTTCGAGAACTTGGATAAGGGGACTTAAAACTGGTCGTTTCCTGGAAGGAATTGCCTTGGATTTTTAGGCGTGCCATTAGGGAAATAGAAAGCCTGTCAAAGGATCTGAACATTACTTTTGTTTGGGTAAGGGCTGCAAATGACTTGGCTGACACATTAGCAAAGCAGGGGGTCTATAGGCAGCAGCTGTTTTTGTCATTATTGTAACTCTTTTGATCCCGGACAATGAATCATTGTCTAGTGCTGTCATTTTTGTTATCTTATCTACATTCAATCGATGATTTCTTCTGCTATCTTATCTACATTTTCAGCTGTTGACCTCTCTGGTAAGTGCTGTTATTTTTGTTCTCCCATGAATCAACTTTGGATTATTGACTTTGGGGAGTCAAATCATATGGCTATTGCTTTTCCTACTTCTTCCTATATACCTTATTTAGGGAATAACTAAATTGTCATTGCCAGTGGAAAAATACTTAATAGTGTAAATTATTCTAAAATATATATTAAAAATATTAACCTTAATAAAGACGGGAAATCCAAGTGTTGGCATTTTTTGGATGTGTCTGACATTATGGAAGTGCCAATTTTTTTTTTTTTTTTGTTGGCTTATGCTTAGGGCACCATCAGCATGTTCTATGACACATAATAATGTGACTATTGGAAGGAATTGCCTTGTTATCTTGAGGTGTCTAGGTAACACCAGTGAGATGTTATTACTTATTAGAGCATCAATTCTTTTACATTCAATGAGTAGTTTTGTCATCTTTGTTGTTCCTTGTAGTGAATTCTATTTTAATTACATTAGGACATTGCTGGTTTCTAGTTGTTGCTACAATTTTCATAAAATGCTGTATTGCCCATTTCTTGTTGATCCATGAATCTTCCCATCTTATTTTAGACCTTTTAGATTATTAATGTACCAAAGTCACTAAATGTTGTACTTATGAGTGATGTTTCCCATTTACAAGTGATTCTTTGATGCCTTTCACATTATATTGTGCAGAAGTGGTGTTGCTTATATAGCAGCACATGACCTTTTTGTTTTGTTGAAATTTAGGATGCGGTGCGAGCAATTTGCCATGAAGTTGAGGCTTTGGTGAAGAAATATGGAAAACCAAAAATGCTTGAAGCAATCAAGTTACCTCCTCCTGAGCTATATAGGCATGTCGAAGTATGGCTTATGGCATGCCCTTCGGTTATGGGGGAAATACTATTTTCTATTAATTAGCATCCATTTCATTATCACTGCTGATAAGTTTTACTTCTATTGTTTCTGTTTATGGTGGTTTAGATCCATATTTACCATGCATAGGAAAGAAAATTTATCATTGAACAGGAAAAGGCAAGATGGATTTAGAATTTTCTGGTATCTGTGATTTTTTTACCCTGGACAAATTATAAGCGTCAGTTGGGTCATTTTGTGTACTGATATTCTCATCCATGACTAAAAAATTATGAATGAAAGTCAGAAGCATATTTGATCTTCCTGTAAACAAACTTGAACTTTAAAGATGGGAATAAGGATTTGTGTAGTCAAATCATTTTTTTGATAATCAATTGAAATTTTATTAAAACTAAATAAAGAGGAGCTAATACAACAGAGCAAGGGGAGGAGTAAAATCTCTTAACCCTCCCCAAGAATAGAACTTATATTACAATATTGCCCATAAAAGATTAGCTCTTCCCACCCCTTGGATGGCAAGTGCATCCGAAAGAAAGTTTGCACTTCTCTTGATCAACTGAAGCTTAATTTCCATGTCCTGGGTCTTCCATTTAAACATCTTTTCTCATTTGAAAACTTCCAGAACCTATTCTCTTCCTTTTGAAGCCATCCAATGGCCAATGTTGAGTCACCTTCTACAACCAATTTTCTGATATTTGATTCCTTCTCTCTCTTTCTCACTTCCAAAACTGCCAAAACCTCTGCTCTTAAGGAAACCCCTACTCCAATGGGACCGGAAAACATACCAAGATTTTTTTCTTCCTCATCCCTAATGTCTCCTCCTATACCTGAAGGTCTAGAGTTGCCTTCACTGCTTCCATCAAAATTCAGTTTTGTGAACCCAACAGCTGGAGGGGACCAAAGTGGAATAGTTACAGATTTAATGGGAGCTGAATAAGCCACTTCTTTCCAATTCTTGATAATATTTCCTGCTGAAAAACCTTCAGAGAGTTTCATAATCTTGACCCAATGGATCACCCTAACAGTTATTGCATCAATAATGACATCCTTCTTATTTTTTTCAGAGAAAATTCTTTGATTTCATTTCTTCCCAAACTGTYCAACAAACAGCTGTTCTTACATATTTCTCCAGTATTCCATTTCTTTTCTTTAAAGTCTAGCTGAAAGGGGAGCAAACACACTCTGTACATTTGGTGGAGGGGCCCACCTACAACCAAATAGAGAGAAACCAATTCCAAATCACTGAGACAAAGGTGTAGGAGATGAATAAGTGATAGCAACTTTCACCATTATCTTTACAAAGGATGCACCAATTCGGGGATAAACACCAATTGGGTCTTTTTCTTTGGAGCAAATCACAGGTGTTACATTTCTCCAGGAAAGCTACCCAACAAAAAAATGCTCCAATCCTAGGTGGGGTTGGAAAACCCCAAACTTCTTTAATTGGGAAAGGTTCCCCATGGTCAGATGAAGGATGCATTAACTCTCTAAAGAAGAAAGCATAGGAAGTCTAACACCACCCTTCCAAGACTTTAGTCAAAGCAAAGTCACTATTCAATTCAGAATCTCTAAGTGCCCTTCTAAGACCCAGATTCTAGTCAAATACAGAGCTCAAATTGGAATGAACCAGAAAGGTCGAGACATGATCATTTTTAAAGCTAGAGAGGGAAAATATGGATGGAAATTGTTCTGTCAAAGATAAATCCTCCACCCAAACATGCTCCCAAAATTTCACAAGATTTCCAGAGCAAAGATCATACATGATAAAAGGAAGGAAGGACACTAGAATGATGTGAATAGATTTTCAAGGAGAAGCTCTTGTGGCCCTAGCTGATACTCCCGCATCCCATCCTAGAATCGCTTGCACATGGATAYTTAGAATCACTTTATCCCACAATTTATGCCTATCCACTGTCATTCTCCATAACCATTTACCCAAAAAAGCCTTATTCTTCTTCTGTAAATTTCCTAATCCTAACCCACCAACACTCTTATCGTTAGTAACCACCTCCCAACTAACTCTGTGATCTCTCCTCTTCTCCCCTGGTTCCCATAGAAAATCCTCATTAGCTTTTCCAAGCTCCTACACACTCCCTCAGGAATCTTAAACACTGACAAGAAATAAACAGGTAAAGTAGCCAACATAGATTTAATCAATGTTGTCCCTCCTCCCAAGGAAAGGGAATTCTTCTTGCATGAAGTTGGTCTCTTTGTGAACCTGTCAATCACCAGATTCTGAAAGTTGCTCTTATTCGGATCATCCCCTAGGGGTATGTTGTGAGGATTATTTAATTGTTATTTTATAGTTGCTGTTAGTGGGTTGCCCTCTTAAGATGCTATCAGTTAGTTATTTTCTTTCTTTCTTATTAGTTTGTTTCTAGGGAGTGCCACCAGGGGCATACTTGTAATTTCCATTCTTTTTATACTAAGTTAATATAAATAATGAACTGGCGGCAGCTAGAATAAGGTTTTCTTTTCCTCTCAATCATATCTTCCTCTTCTTCTCTTTCTCTCTCGTCTCTCTCTCTCCATGAATGATTACATGGTATCCGAGCCAGGTTCTGGGCTATAAAAGAATTTCGGTCTCTCCTATTTGAACCTTCTTCGTCCTCTTTTCCTTCTTTGATTTCTTGGACGTGGAAGATAGAGAAACCCTAGCAGACTACTTGCGGCTCTTCCTTTGGGTTCTTCCTTGGTCGTAATATCAAGGAAACCCTAGTCGAAGAAGGGCGATGCAGATAGAGATTCCCTTTCTTCTCTGTTCGATGCTGTGAAGTCAGTTTCTGGTTGGCACCTTTGTATAGGTGCTGGACAGGGTATGTGTTCTTGTTTTTTGTTTTTGGATAATGGTGTGAAGGCCTTATTCCTTGGTTCTATACATTCGTTTGGATGCTGGATTGWTAGACTGTATGGGCTGTAGTCGGACTGATAGTATACTATTCTAATGTCTGCCTTGGCTGGTGTTGGATTGATTACCGGGTTGGTTTAATGACCGAACCATCACAGAATTGATTTCAGCAGTTTTTTGTTTTCTTTTCCACATTCCAAAAGTAAATTTCTTGAGGGTTGGTATTTTGTTTGTGGCTGTTGTGTAGTTGTGTGGGATTTGGACTGATTTCAGCAATACTCTTATGGAAAACTATGATTCAACTTCATTGGGGGTTACACCGACCCGTAGCACAGCTGGTATGGGAGGTGAAAACATGATGTTTCCCATGCCCATTACTCCTTTAAATGGTCTAAACTACCTGGAGTGGGCTAAAAGCGTAGAACTTTATGCAATGGCAAGGGGAAAAGCTGGTTACATAAATGAAAGGGTGAAAGAACCCAAGAGTGAGACAATTGAACATGATAGGTGGGACCAAGAAAACAGTATGGTGATGTCTTGGCTCTTTGCAGCCATGGAACCTGATGTGAAGAACTTTATGTGGGCAGACACTACTAGTGAGATCTGGGAACAGACCAAAACTACCTATTCTGAGCAAAGGCATTATGCCAAGGTTTACCAGTTGCAAGCTGAATCCTCAACCTGTAAACAGGGAAATCATAGTTTGTCTTCCTATTATTCAGCCCTTACTTCCATATGGAAAGAATTGGATCATTATCAGGCTATAGAGTGGAAACATGATGACGATGCTAAGGCCTACAGGAAGCTGGTTTCTCAGCAGTGTGTGTTTGCCTTCTTGTTGGGACTAAACCCTGCCTATGAACCCTTGAGAGTTCAGATCCTAGGAAGCAAAGAGTTGTCGTCGGTTCACGAGGTATACTCCCTTGTTCAATCGGAAGAAAGTAGGTTGAGTGTGATGGTTACAGCCGAAGGGGAGCAACAAGTTGCTTTGGCTGCAATGAGTAATAACAACATGGGGAAGAAAAGTGACACCAAGAAGGCTGACGATAAAGACAAGTTGTTTTGTACCCACTGTCGGCACTCACGACATACACGTGACACATGTTGGGACATTGAAACCCAAGTGGGCAGTGAAGAACCAAGAATAGGGTAAAGGGCAAGGTCAGAAGAAGATGAATAGCTCAGTCACTGGTACTCTTACTTCATTTGCATCTACATCAGGTAATACGGCTTCTGCATTCCATGTCACTCCCACTGGTTCTCCTTGGATCATTGACCTCTAACCACATGACCGGTAAGCTGAACTTGTTTCAGACTTATAGCCTTTAGTCAGGAAGGGATAAAGTGAGGCTTGCAAATGGCTCATTCTCCTCCATTGCAGGCCAAGGATCAATATCTCTTCTCATGGCATTAACCTGAATTGTATATTGCATGTCCCTCAACTTCCTATAAATTTGCTTTCAATTAGTAGTATCACAAGCTCTTTAAATTGTAGTGTAACCTTTTTTCCTAGCTCATGTGTTTTTCAGGACCTAACTTCTGGGAGGACGATTGGTAGAGGGAGCCTAGTGGATGGTCTCTACATTCTCGACAACGAAGCTGGTCTCTCGGTGTCATCCTCAAAGTCACATAGTCGGTCAAATAAGAGTTAATTTTTTTTGTGACATAGTCGGTTAGGTCATGTTTCTTTTGAAATAGTAAAGTCTTTGTTTCCGGTTTTATTTAAGTCATGTTCAGTGTTAGAGTTCCAGTGTCAAACGTGTCAGTTGAGCAAACAATGTAGAACAACTTTTCACTCAAATAATAAAAGTTCAAGTGTTCCTTTTCATGTTGTGTATTCTGATGTATGGGGGCCTACTACTGTAATCTCTGAGGGCGGATAWA